TCTAATGCATGTTCACGTTCACTGAGGCCCGGACAGCCAAATATTTCCCTGAGAATTTAAAGAATTTAAGATAATAACAAAAAAACGTATGCTAAGATTCAAACCATAACATTATTCCAGAGTGTTATAGTAACGAGTAATTAAATGTTTGGTTCGATTTCCACCTTAGTGACCTTGCACGACCTTGCGTGTTTTCGTGTGCCCCCCTCCCCCCTCCATTGACACAGCTGGACTTGGCGTGCAGACTCCAGTGTGCATTTCTGCCCCTCGCACGAGCGGAACGTGTTGAACCAACCCCTTAACTTGTTGCTGACAACACATTCCTGTCGTGTGTTCGCCCCACTCTGGTATCCTAGACAGATGGGATGTATTTGAAATGCTGGCGTCTGTCTGAAACCAACCTAGATTGATGGGGCAAGCGAGAACGGGACATACATGCCTTATAATTATAATATGTGAGTGCTATATGGGTAGAAACTTAGGGCTGGTGGGGACTACGGTACCGACATTACAGTCAAAGCTCATCTTATCAGAAATTTGTAGATCCGTTAGCCATTACCGATGTCATTGTTTATTATGAGAACATACAAGACGTCCTACGAACACCCCATGCCATGAATCTATAGTCTGGGTACCACAGGGCTGTTCCTAGGGCCTACGTAGACCAGTTTCTCGGCTCCAGGGCCAACATGCTCCCAAGGAAATTATACCACAGCCTCCCTTATTTAGACCCTGATCCACTGGCTAAATCTGGGCCTAGCTATAGCTGAGGCTATGAATCTGAAGCTCTTTTCGACTTGAACCACATCAAAGCACGACCAAATCCCAGCATCTATTTACCGCATAGCTACAGATAACGGTGGGAGTTGTTTTGGCGCCGGTTTAGACCAGACGACGGTAGACTTCAACACGGAGTCAACAAGTCAAGTACCCAGGCCGCATGAACCGCTGGCGCCACGATCCTCAGTCTTAAAGTTCATCAATCTAAAACTAGTTCCTGTGACACATAGCTGAATATGGCCTCCCGACCACTACCGAACTCACCCCAACCACGTGGTTAGGTCGGGAGCAAGTTGGTTGGTAGTCGGCTGGTGTTCGGATAGGTCGGCTACTGCTCAGCTGCACAAGCCAAGCGTTTCAAAATGACTAAAACATTCCGGTGTGGACGGATAGGTTCGGCCATGGTTGGCTGGCGGTTGGCTGGTGTTCGGGAGTAGGTCGTAATGTAGTTGGCAGTCAGGTTTGACTCAAATTTAACTCAAATCTGATTAGTATAAAGAGATAGTTAACTAAGAACTGGAGACATCTAATTGCAGCACAAACTTAGATTTAAAAAAAGCTTTCACGAAAAGAAAAACAAAATACGGACTTCGTTCGTTCTGTCTCTTTTGCCCTTTGCCGACCTTTAGATATGTTCGTTGCATAACAATAGAACAAGCGTAACTATAGTATATGTCAGTATCTTCTCTCCATGCTTAATTTGCCGTCGGTTCTTGTATAACGTCAATGTGCGACAAAGACCTTTTTGGGACCAATTTTCTTCTCGTGACACACAAAGCATGGCGAAATGTCAGGCGGACAAAGCAAGAAAGACAGTAGCTAGACGGTCGGGCTCTCTATGGTGAATTGGGCTAGCTATATTCGGCGCCATGACGTCATGCGGAGCCTGTGGGCTATAGACGATCATAGACCGCCAGAGTTGAGAAAGGACAATACAGCTACCATTCTAAAACATAGACTGGTTGGGCCTATTGTAGTAAAAATACATGGTATTAGGTAGATTGATCCTTTGAAACTGAGAGAGAGAGAGAGAGAGAGAGAGAGGAGGGGAGGGGGAGGGAGGAGGAG